GTTGTTTGTTAGGAATTCTTACTGGTTTACAGAAATAACATTGATTAGTGATTGGCTATACATTGTCAATCTAGGTTGTAGGTTAGAGTGTCTGGTGAGGCATTGCTAGATTAATTTATGGCTACTTGTGGCAATAACAAGCAGCTTTAAGAAATGTATACATAGTTCAAGGGGGGCAAGTAGGATGTGATTGCTGTCTCATTTTAATGCCTCTCTGGGCCTGTTTTTTTTTTTTTTTTTTTTTTTTTTTGAGACAGAGTCTCACTCTGTTGCCTGGGCTGGAGTGCTGTGGTGTCAGCCTAGTTCACAGCAACTTCAAACTCCTGGGCTCAAGTGATCCTTCTGCCTCAGCCTCCCGAGTATCTGGGACTACAGGCATGTGCCACCATGCCCAGCTAATTTTTTCTATATATTTTTAGTTGGCCAATTAATTTCTATTTTTAGTAGAGACGGGGTCTCGCTCTTGCTTTGGCTGACCTGACCTTGAGCAATCCTCCCCCCTCGGCCTCCCAGAGAGCTAGGATTACAGGCCTGAGCCACCACGCCCAGTCTGGGCGTGATAATTTAAAAGGACTCTCATTCCTCAGATAAAAGTTCTTTTTTTTTCTCAGATAGCCAACCATATGTGTGGGTCAATTTCTAGACTCCAGTCTGATCTATTGATCTATTTGTCTATCTTTACATACTGTCTTGATTATTTTAGCTGCTGAGAATATAGTCTAAATAAGTCAAACGTGATCACCACCCTTAAGAAGCTGACAATCTGATGAGAGAGACAGCCTGACATGTAAGTCATAACTGTCCAAAGTGGTGGAGAAAATCACGATGCCAGCACAGATGTTGGAAGTACAAAAGAGAACTCTACCTGGTTTATGGTGAGCGGGGGGAAGCTTCCTGAAAGAGATATCATGAAATGAATCATAAAGGAGCAGGAGGGATTTGCAGAAGGTAGGAACATGTCTGGTGTCTTCAAGTAAGGGTGAGGAGACCAGTGTGGCTGGAGCATAGTATCTAAGGGGGCGCCGAGAAAACGACCTTAGGGAGGAAGGGGAACACATTGGGTGGAGACTTGAAGGCCTTTTTAAGGGTTTTAGCTTTTACTCTTATTGAGATGGGAAGCCATCGAGGGGTTTTGAGTAGAGAGGTGACATGATCTGACATCTTTTAGTAAGACCTTCCAGGATGCTCTGTTTGAAACAGATCGTGTTAAGGGTGGGCAGGGGGCAGGTAAGGACAGAAGCTCTGAGACCAGCTATAGACGCTGTAACTGTAATCCGATCAAAGGTGAGGGGGTGTAGCTCGGTGGTAGAGCATTTGACTGCAAAGCTGATGGTGGCTTAAACTTGATGGTAAATGCTTGAGTTCTGGATATATTTTGAAGGTAGAGCCAATAGGATTTGCTGATAGATTGATAATGAGGTATAAGATAAAAGGAGGAATGAAAGTTTTTGGCTTGAACTAAAGTATGTGTTGCCATTTACCAATATGGGGAAAACTGTGAAAAGAACAAGTCTGGAGAAGAAAATCAGAAGTTTAGTTCTCCTACTTAAAATGTGAGAGATTATCCCCCAAAGAACAGGTAAATTCCCCTAAAGAGGAACTAGTTGCAGGACATGCGTGAGGATAAAGTCATCTTGAGTGTCCAGTACAATGTACTCAGCATGATGCTAGTCATGGGGACTGCAGGGGGTGCATGGACCCCTCAGTGCATGAGACCTGCTCTCTAGGGCAGCTTGTGAGGAGGCTTGACTCTCACAAATGAAATAGAAAAAAATATGAAGTCAAGGACCAGATTATGGGATACAGATCTCAAGTGCCACAGAATAGTGGCAGAGGGAAACGTGTGTGTGGTGGTCTGGAGTAGTTAAAGAAGATTTCTAGAAGGAAACAGGACAGGTCCATCTTCACAGGATGGGGAAGACTTTGACAGAGAGGAAAAGAGGCAAAATTGTAGGGATAAACAGGCACCATTCAGGACACGGATAGTACATGCCTGGCCGGAAGAATTGTTGGGAGGACTTAAAAAGAATTGGTTAAAAAGAAAAAAAATTGGTTCCAGGCACATGGTAGGCACTTCATAAAAGACAGCTAATAACATTTCTTATATTGGAGGAATAGATGGAGATAAAACTGTGTAATACTCTCCTGACTCTAGCCCCACCTTGCATGTCAACATGTCTCCTACTCCTGTGATGCCCTTTGACCTTTCTCCTTTCCTGGGTTGTCTTCTAACAATTCGATTAGACCCCTTTCAAATTTGACTTTCTAAGTTGTTGGAGAGGGGAAAGTAGAATCAGGCTATAATATTTCAGCATGTCCATTGAGGTTTATGGGTTTTCAATAAGCTCATCCATGTGGATTCTACAAAGGTCCAGAAGGGGGCAATGTGACACTTGGACTTCAGGGTTGTTTTTTTTTTTTTTGCACAGTGTTTGGAATTCACCCCATTTTGTTAAATTGAGGATCTCAGAAGGGCAGGGCTAGAATAATCTGTAAACATCATGGGGTCAAACACTCTCACTTGCTGGTAAATACACTGAAGCCCAGAGAGGGGAAGGGACTTGCTCAAGGTCAAAAGCCAAGACTCTAACCTTGTTGTGACCCTAAACCAGTATCATACCACGACCTCACTTGGTTGTTTGATTTGGAGGAATCTCCCTCAAAAGCAGAGTTTCTTAAACTTATGTCATCTATGGATAACTTTTAAAGGAATAAAATTCTCCCAACTCCTTGGTTGAGACTTAAATTATTTTACTATAAGAAAATATAAACAAAAATTTTACATTAAAGATACTGAAAAACGTACAGATATAAAACTCTATTTAAATTTCTTTTCCTTAGACCTTCTATGCAAACATAAAACAAAAAAAAATTTGCCAAGTAGAAACAAAACTTCAAATCAATGAAATTTAGATTCATGGTATTACTGGAAAAGCATGGATGGTATTGCTTTGTTGAAATTAATTTGTTACTCACAAGTGAATGTGGCACTTTTTAAAACAATGACATATTTATATGTAGTCCCTTAGTTTCTTTCACATGACCAGTGTTCAATAAAGATTTGTGAATTTAATTTGCATGAAGGTATAAATAATTTAAAATAGTTTGAATTATCAGAATTATCAGAAGATAATTATCAGAATTATCAGAAAAATCTGAAGTCTGTGCAATTGGTATTCTATCATTGGCAACTGCACTTTATGTCTATCTAACCTTTATATCTATCTCTTTCTATAACTATAGTTATCAATCTCTATATCTATCTATGTATATCTACTTACATCTATCTTTTCCTATATAGATATAGATATACATTTTAAATTATAAAACTAATTACACATGTTATAAAATATTCAAATAATATAGAAACATGAAGTAAGAAATTAAAGCCCTCTTGGATAAACATTGGGTTGCTTTAACAAATGTCAAACAGCAAAGGCTTAAAGAAGATAGAAACTCATTTCTCTCACATCATAACCTACAATGGAGCAGCCAAGGATGACCTGGCAACTGTGCAGTGATGGGGCCCAGGCTCCTTGTCTCTGTGGCGCTGCCATTCTCAAGACATGGCTTCTATCTTGGTCTAACATGGCTGTTTCCATTTACCCCACTGCATCCACATTCCAGCCAGGAAAAAGATGGGAAGAAGTAAGAAGAGAAGGTGATGCTTCTTTTTTTTTAAGGGCACAACCTGGAAATCACATTTATCACTTCCACTCACAGCCCATGACTAGAACTCAGACATATGGTCAACTTTAACTATAATGGAAACAGGGAAATAGGGTCTTCAGATGGGTAGCAATGTGCCCAACTAAAACTTCTCTGTTATAGAATAGGGGTTTTCAAATCTGGTTGCACAACAGAATCACGTGGAAAACTTAAAAACAAATAGGCTGGGCATGGTGGCACATGCCTATATTCCCAACACTTTTGGAGGCCAAAGTGGGATGACCACTCGAGCCCAGGAGTTCAAGGCCACAGTGAGCTATGGTCACGTCACTGTACTCCAACCTGGGTGACAGAGCGAGATCTTGGCTCTTAAAAAAAAACCAACAAAAAAGCACCCCACTACCCCACAGATGAATTAAATCAGAATCTTTGGGGGAAAGACCTGGGCTTCTGAATTTTTAAAATGTTTCCTGGTGACTTTGATTCAGATCAAGGATAAGAACCACTGCTATAGAAGAAAGAAAGAACAGATAGGGAGGGACGACTAACAAGCCCAACCACTGCCCCTTTTCACTGCTCCCAATTCTGCACCACCCATTCCCTCCCAATTGTCACCCACTCGTTCAATCTGTATTCTTCCAGGTCTTTTTCTGTGTGTATGCACTACATACATACCTATGCACATGGTCTGTCCTGACACCTAATAGTGACTTCAGCATTTCTATATGGGTGGGTCTTGGGATAGTAATATTAGAATAGGCATGAGCCTCTGTGTTTGCATGACACTTTACATTAATTTAAGAAAATATGAATTATCTACATCAAAGTATGAGGTATGATGGAGAATTTTTGGTGATAGGGGAGCTAAAGCCTACAGAATCCATCTCTTGGTTCAGCCCCTGCAAGTGTCATATATTGAATCATTTATCTTTTTTTTTTGAGACAGAGTCTCGCTTTGTTGCCCAGGCTAGAGTGAGTGCCGTGGCGTCAGCCTAGCTCACAGCAACCTCAAATTCCTGGGCTCGAGCGATCCTCCTGCCTCAGCTTCCTGAGTAGCTGGGACTACAGGCATGCGCCACCATGCCCGGCTAATTTTTTATATATATATCAGTTGGCCAATTAATTTGTTTCTATTTATAGTAGAGACGGGGTCTCGCTCTTGCTCAGGCTGGTTTTGAACTCCTGACCTTGAGCAATCCGCCCGCCTCGGCCTCCCAGAGAGCTAGGATTACAGGTGTGAGCCACCGCACCCGGCCTGAATCATTTATCTTTTGCCAGTGGTTTGGATGCCATCTTTATTACCTATTATAAATTTCTACATCTATGAAGATTTTAAAAAATTCTTTATTCTTTGTTCTGTTAGTTCAGATTGTTATTGCATATTTGTTCACTTTTTAAACACTTTGTAGCTTTTCTCCTGTCCCCTGCAACTGTCACTTCTTACTTCCCTCTACTGCTGGGTAAATATTTAAGAATTCTGAGATGTGTTGCTTATTCTGTGTGAAGGGATCACTTATGAGGTATGGGAAGTTCTTAATAAAGCTTTCAAATCCACTTGAACGTTTTATGATGATAAAAGTAAGAGTTTTTGCTCTGCAACACTCTTTTTCTTTTCCATGACCACAGCCTTGCAGACTCTTGCCATGATAGACTTTCTTGAGTTTTGCTCAAATATAACGGGAGGTTTTTCTAACATCCCCTGAGGCCATCACTCAAGTGTTGTTCTCTGCTTCTTAGTGAGCACACTCCATTAGAGCTGAAGAAAGCTATAAGGCAGCAAAAGAGCAGTTTCTGCTTTGACTTGCAAATATTTTTAATCCCCTAAAAATAAGCCATGAGCTGCAAATAGGCCTGAGTGCTCCAGCACTGTTTCCTAAATTAGTTATTTCTTCCACTTGAACTTGGAAGCTAAGAAAGAAGAGAAAAAAAAAAAAAAAAGTTATTTCTGCGGAGATGGAGAATACATCTTGTTTTTCTGCTCAGGGCCACCTGCTTAGGATTCAATACATGATTCCATTCAGTATCTTATTGCCAATCCTTGTTTGGAGGCAGGCGTAATCCCTCAGAGAAGATGGAAAAATTTATGTTTTGGAAATAAATTATAAATGAGATGAAATCTTTATGGGAAGGGCCTGAGTTTCTTCTGAGTCTCTATTGTAACATGATTCCAATTCTCTTCCTCGTGTGTTTGTAACCCCTCGTTTCACATGTTGTAAGGTTTGCTTAACCACTTCGGTACTGCGCTTACTGGCCGCCAAACCTTGCCCACAGCCGGCACTCACAGTCCACACGGTAGTTTGTGCTGTGCATTGACGACGAATCGTTTTGCTCTTGTGTGATGAGGAAAGCTTTAAAGCACCGAAAGCTTGTTTTACTTTACAGGCAGCTTTACTTGTAATGTAAATCGGAATAGGTAACATATACATATATGTTTTCATTACGTTATTTTTAAATGTTCACAATTTTATTTTGATAAATGACAAATTAGAAAAGTCATATCACGGCTGTCGGCTAAAGTCGCTGTACTCGTTCATCTGTGGCTATTGACTATAGTCAACGCTCGTACCCAAGTGGTTAAATACAGTCTTCACCTTAATGGAGCTAACAGTCAAGAAACCAAAGGCAACTTTTTAAACTTAAGTTGGCCTTAGTTTTGTTTTTTTGTTTTTGTATCTGTGAAAAGGGAATGACAATATCGGTTTATAGGGTTGTCATGTCATGTCATTCATTCATTCATTTGTCAGTCATGCATTCAACGGGCACTGTTGGCTATTGTAAAATGTCTAGCACTTTATAATTACAAATAGTATATTTTTTGATGTAGCAAATTTTAGCAATTATTTTAAAAGTTGTATTATAGAAAATTTTAAACATATACAAAAAAGGTGCAAAGAACATTAATAAACCTCCATGTGCTTATCACCCAGCTTTAAAAATTACCAGTTCATGGCCAAACTTGTTTCATTTAAATCCCCATGACTCCCTCCTGTCCTGATCATTTTGAAACAAATTCCAGACATATCATTTCATCTAACAATCATTTTTTAAAGATTAATGTTTCATCCCATTCAAAACTTAATTCAACCCTTTAAAGCTGTGGTCTCCAACTCCCAGGCTGCAGACTGGTACCAGTCCCTGGCCTGTAGAAACCTGGCCACGCAGCAGGGGGTGAACAGCTGGCAAGCGAGTGAAGCTTCATCTGTATTTGCAGCCACTCCCCATCACTCACATCACTACATAATCTCCACCTCCTGTCTGATCAGCCACGGCATTAAATTCTCATAGGAGCACAAACTGTAAACTGCATATGTGAGGGATCTAGGTTGGGTGCTCTTTATGAGCATCTAATGCCTGATGATCTGAGGTGGAGCTGAGGTAGTGATGCTAGCGCTGGGGAGCAGCTGCAAATACAGATTATCATTAGCAGAGAGGTTTGACTAAACAATAAATGTAATGTGCTTGAATCATCCCCAAACCATCCCCCCAACGCCCCCCTACTCCTGGTCCATGGAAAAATTGTCTTCCATGAAACTGCTGCCTGGTACCAAAAAGGTTGGGGATTGCTGCTTTAAAGCATTTTAAACTGCATTTATCTATAATAAAGATGTTTGCACTTGAATGTAAAAAACTGAAAACATTGAAATAAAAAATTAGAATGATAATATACTTTTTAAAAAATTTTAAAAAAATAAACTGCATTTATAATTAATCTCATTTCCTTTTGAAAAACTTCACTGGATTAACAAAAATCTTCCCGAATACTAGTAATTCTTATAATGGTTTAAACATATAAACAGGGTAAACCTTAAACTCTTTCAAGTACATTTCAATGCTATTTTAAAACAATAAAATTTCAACTTAAAATCTCATCCAAATCAATTATTCAGTTCTTCACTTTAAATTAGAATCACAAAACTATTTTATTATTTTATTATGCCAAATTCTCTTCACACCAATACATTAAAATACCAATTTTATACAAGTTCATGAAAACAAAAATATTAATACTGCAGGGTTTGGGTCTCTTAAACATTTTTGTTTTTAATGCTAAATCTTCCCAAGATCAAAAGATACTTAATCTCTACGAAACTACTATGTCATCTCAGATCCCACAAATGTGGGTGGCTGTCACTTGATCTGCTGTATTTGTGGATTAAACTCAACTATCTGTTTTCTCTTTCTATACTGAATTGTTTTAATAATCTTTCTGTTGGGGTCCAAATTCTTACAGATATTTAATTGACAGTTGAGTATTTTGTAGCTTTATCCACCTCTGAGGTTAGAGTTGCAAGAAATATGCCAGTGACAAAAAGGTATTCAATAAGCATGAACTTGATGGTTAAATAACCTTGGGGGATGCCAGATTGAGCAAATAGACATTCATTAAGTGTATTCTAAACACTCCAAGAATGTAAGGTACTAAGGCATGTATCTAAGAGGGGTATAATATGCTACAGTTCCAGATATATTTGACTACCAACCTACAGACCACTCCCTGTCTCCCTTTTTTGGATGATTCTCCTATAAAACCTAGAGCTGAGCCTGCAAATGGGCACCTGAAGGCCAAATCTGGCCTGACAGTTCAGTTTCACCTGGCCACACAGTATTTTTAAATACTTAATCCATCTTTTAAAACTTGAAGAGAGTTTGCCAAAAAATTCTTGATTGCCAGTGTTTTTTCAAGAATTAAAAGGTCTGGCAAATGCATGACTACGCTGGCTGAAGCTGAGCAAAGCCTGCCTTATCCTGTGGGGTGTAGGCACTGCACTAGGTCGCCAACAGAGAACACCTGCACGGTCCTCCTAGGTCGAGTCTGTGGGCTTCATGGTCTTGGGACCATGGTCAAGGGACCCCCAATGTGGTAGAACTCAATATGGGAGGAGCTGATGTAAGCCCATCAGACTGTGTGGACTGGCTGCAGATGGTGAGTGTGAGTGGAATGGGGTAGCCTGGAGTGAGTAGCTGGGGACAGTAGGGGAGAGGTGCTGTCACAGAGTAGCACTGCCATCCTAGGGCAGTACCAGCCCACCTGCTTTTTCCATTTGCTTCAGAATTCCTGCTCTGCCCTCCATGTGGATCTTGACATGCCTGTTGAGAAATAAAGAGCTGAAGCCAAAAGCTAGGATGGTGCAAATAATTTCTAAATGGTAAAGTAGATGTCAAATGAAGTGAGTGTGATAATTATTCCCCCTGAAGGGGCAGCATGCCTCAGAAAGATTCCAATCTGTGTTTGGCTATCATCAAGTCTTATTGTCATTATAAAGAAAATCCAGCTTTTCCTCTAAGCAAACCAATGCCTGCCCTTGCCAACCAAGAAGAGGTTGTCTTAGAGTCTTACCCAGAAGTTTTGTAATTTAAACCCAGACAAAGAGAACAAAGGTGAGGTAGTTTCCACTGATATTATTTTCACAGTGGATTGCAAGTCAAGAAAATAAATTACCAAGTAAGCTCTGTTTTCTTTAATCTTATTTAATGCATTGCTATGCAGCAACAGTAAGGTAATAATTAAGGACGATTTTGCCTCCTCCAGAGGCTTTGATCTACAATGATGTGACTCCATGTTTTTGTCTGGTTGGGTTTCTAAGCTTTCATTAATGTCCATAAAATTTGAACAAAATCAAAAGGGCATAAGGCATAACAACAACAACTCCACCTGCATCTGAGCAAAGGGGAGATTTCATTTGCAATTAGGTATGTTATAACTTCCATTATTTGCTTATTTTTCAACATGATATAGTTTGATGTTTTGGGACACTATTGGAAATTAGTCAAAATATATACTATTTATACAATCCCACAACCTGTACTCAAGATTTTTTATTTTCAGATATCTAAGAAAAATCTCTAGAAAAAAAATTCTGCAAAGTAGAAATGAGTATTCGTACACCCATGGAAATACACATTCAAATAGGATTTATCATTTCTTTTTTTTTTTTTTTCTACTTTCTTATTTTATTGGCATGTGAGAACCCAGGGTCTTTTCTCATTCATCACTTTTTTTTTTTTTTTAAGAGACAGATTCTTGCTCCATCACCCAGGCTGGAGTGCAATGGTGTGACCGCAGCTCACTGCAGCCTCAAACTCCTGGGTTAAGGTGATCCTTCTGTCTCAGCCTCCTGAGTAGCTGGGACTACATGCAGGTGCCATTGCACCCAGCTAATTTTTCTTATTTTTTATAGAGCCAGGGTCTTGTTATGTTGCCCAGGCTGGTCTTGAACTCCTGGGCTCAAATGATCCTTCTGCCTTGGTCTCTCAAAGTCTAGGATTACAGACCTGAGCCACTGCACCAGGCCTCCTTCATCACTATTTCTGAAATTTCTTAGATTCGTTGGCGATTCAGGTACGATGTTTTACTTTATTGGGTGTACAATAGTGTAACCGGAAATTCTTATTAGATATTGAACTTTCTGAATTGATTATCCAGTTTTCTTGTATTCTATATCATTCATCTTTTCTAGACTTTTTTCTTTCATGAGTCTTCAATTGAATTCTTTAATTTCCAAGAGAGCTCTTTCTTTTCTGAGTTGTGTCTTATTTATTTATGTTTTAGCATTTTGTTCTGGTTTTATGGATGCAATATCTCATCCTTTGTCTTCAGCTTCCTCATCGCTCTCGGTTTTCTTCAAGTTTCTTTTGGTTGTGGTGGTTGTTGCTTTGATTGGGTATGGTTTCTTTCTTTCACTTTGGAGCCTTTCCTCAGGGGTCTGGTGCCTGCATTCATCCTAAGAGGAAGGCACTACAATCTGATTGGAAGCTCCCTGTATGTTCACAAATCTGGTACCTGGAGGACTGTGTGGTAGGTGATTGGGTGGCTTTTTTGCCGGAGAACCTACAAATGTAAGTTTCAGAAGGTGTTTTCTCTTGACCTAGTTAGTCTATCCAAAAGAGGAATCTCCTACCTGAAGATTTGTATGCGTGTTTCCCTTCATTCTGGAAACGGAGTGCAGGGAAAAGAAGGGAATGGGGGATTGCCTCACTCAGAGTTTTACTTAATCCTCTCTCCTGTGCCTCGTGTTTCTGGGCTGGGCTGTGGGTGAAGTGGGGAAACTAACAACCTGGCTTTGAGGAGGGAAAGGCTACAGGCTTTCACTGCTCCATCTTCACACAATTCCCATGTTTTTGGTCCTGCTTCACTCGTCCAACCTTTGAGGTACTTGGTCTCTTATCGTTTGAAGTCTTTTTGAGCACGCAGAAAGGTGCATCTCATTGGCATGCCCTTATATAAGAATTGAACGTGTGGTTTTCCTCACTGCGTTTGTCAAGGTGCTTTCCACGCCTCAATTTTCTTTCCAGTTCCCCCCAAATTTGTTGACATTTATATCTGCTATCACCTCTTTTATTCTCTTTATCTTTGTGGGTTTATACCTTTCCTCCTCCTATTTTGTCATTTTGAGGATTTGGGAAAGAAAGCAGAGATAAATGAAAGCATTAAATTCTCTATATTTCACCAGAAGTTCCTAGTTATCTTTTTATTTTAAAAGCAACCTATTAGATACTAGAGAATCAGGTGTAGCAATTTCCCTGTATAACCAAAAGTAAAGCAAACTTATTGTATACCAACTGTGTGAGGTGGCAACACATTATGTAATTTTAATTGTTTTCTTTTTAAAGGTAAATATGTGCACATGGAAAAAATATATAAGTCATATAAAAAAGTAAGCAGTGAAAAGTATACCTTTCTCTCACTCCAGTCTCAAGTCCAATAATTCTTCTCCCCAGATACAATAACTATGCTTGTTTGGTAGGTATTCCCTCCTCTTGTCCATACTTATGATAGCACTTTATGCACATTCTTCCCACCTCTTAACAGTATATCTTACAGATTGTACATCATTCTTTTTCACAAGTGCATATTAATCCATTATATACTTACACACGTATCTGTTGTAATTTACTTAACCAGTTCCCTGCTGATAAACATTTACTTATTTATCTATTTATTTGATTTTTTAGAGACAGGGACTTGCACTGTCACCCAAACTGGAGTGCTGTGGCATGATCACAGCTCACTGCAGCCTCAAACTCCTGGGCTCAAGCAATCCTCCTGTCTCAGCCTCTAGTAGCTGGAATTCCAGGTGTATGCCACCACATCCAGCTAATTTTTCTTATTTATTTATTTATAGATCCTATTCAAGATCCTATCCTAGAGATAGGATCTTGCTATGTTGCCCAGACTAGTGTCCAACTCCTGGCCTCAAGTGATCCTCCCACCTAAGCCTCCCAAAATGCTGGGACTATAGGCATGAGCCACCTGATAAGCATTTAAACAGTTTCTCGGTTTTTGCAGTGAAACAATGCAGCTGTGAATATTGTCTATCCATCTTTATGTAGAAATACATGTGTCTTTGTGCATGGGTGAGAAAAGTAAATTCTAGAAGTGGAATTGTTGAGGTGAAAGAAACATAACACTTATAATGTACTAGCTATAGCCAAATGGCCCTCCAAGCAGTTGTACCAATTTGTACTTTCAGTAACAATGAATAAGAGTTCTTGTTTCCCCATACTGTCTCTCATCAGTGCATTATCAAAAAAAATTTTTTTTGTAGTTTCCAAATTTAATATATGAAAAAGCTAATTTTAGTGGAGTTTTTAATGGGCATTTCTTTTGTTCTAAGTGGGGTTGAATGTTCTTTTATATTTTATAGAACCATTTGTATTGTGAAGTGTTTGCTAATGTTCTTTATTCCCTTGGGATATTATCCTTTATCCTTTTGGGATAGTAGAATATTTCTTATCAATTCATAAAATTCTTTTTTATTTAGAAAATTAGCCCTTTGTCTATCATATATAGTGGGAAGTTTTCCCTACCAGTTTATCATTTGATTTTTGTTTATGATACTTGTTGGCAAATAGAAAGTTACAATTTTAACATTTTCTTTTATGGCCTTCTCGGAGATCATAAAAAAGTTCTGAATTTCTTCTAATATTTTATGATTTTTTAAATTTTACATTTACTTAGGTGATTTATTTGGAATTTATTTTGGTGTAGGAGTGAGACAGGGGTTCAGTTTTTTTCCCCAGTTGGCTTGCTGTCTCAACAAGTTGCACTTTATCCTTAATACAAAGCACAGGAACATTTGCACAACTGTGAAAATGTCTTTATCTGATCTATACAAAAGATTAACTCTTTGAGTCAAAGATTATCTCTTTGACAAGACAATTGGTTCAAGATCATTTCATAAGAAATGTAATTTGTGGGTGTAATCCAAGATAAAGTTTGATCACAACACGGCAATTGTGTCTGATCTATGTCAAATTGGGAGGGGAGAGAGGAATTCCTAGGAGAGCCCTGAAGTCTAAAACCACATTGTAAATCCAAGGGCCTGAATGGAGTTCAAGATATAGAGCCCAAACCAGGAGAGCTGGGAAACGAGGAAAGCAGAGAACAAATGCTGGACCAAAGCTGGGCAGGAGTTGGGGGTAGGGAGCAGGTGCAGAGGGAGGCATGAGGCCTGAGCACTTGGAGAGAGCAGATCCTTTGGATGGGTTAGGGGAGGTTTGCATTGCTAAGCAGCCTCCAAAGCAATTCTCAGTGGGAGGATGGACTTCCGAATAAGCTTTCATTTCCACAAGAAGGAGGGGCCAGGAATCCTAATAGCTAGTAAAAGGTAGCCCAGGCCTTAGAAATGTGGGCCGAAATAAGCTTTCTGAGATAATTAAAGTAAATATTGGGATTAGCTTAAACATGAAATTATTTACCTGAATGTAATCATGGATAAATTGATAAGCTAGTTCATTTCTTCTCCAACAAACTTTTATCGAGTAATGCCAGGCACTGGGCAGAGAACTCTATGAGACAGAGAGAAAAATTAAACACAGGTTAGGTGCTTATCTAATTGGGATACAGGTAGATCAGTGACAAGGACAACATAGTGGTAAGATACTCTGAGAAGTCACAGAGCTGAGAAGTTCTTCATAGAGTCTGCTAGAACACGAGGTGATCAAGCATTGCATCCTGTTGAAAATCCTTATTCTCTTTTTGAGTAGGTTAAGCTAAAGTTTCTTTCAGAATTATGATTAACACTACTTCACTTCTAGTCTCTGATAAGCTTCCTGGTGTCTTTTTTTGCCAGGAATCTGAGGAGATCTAGTGCCCCTTAGCCTTGCAGAGATTCTTAACGTGAGGTTTAGGTTTCAGGGATAGGTTTCAGAGTGTCCATGAACCTTGTAAAATTGGATGCAAATTGTGTGGGTGTGCTTTTCTTCTAGGAATAGGGTCATAGATTTTGTTAACTGTCTCAAAGCAGCCGGGCTTGGCAGCATGCCTGTAATCCCAGAAGTTCTGAAGTAGAATTGCTTCAGTTTGAGGTTAGCCTGGGCAACACAGTGACACTCCAGCTCAAAAACAAAACAAGATAGAATCTCAAAGGAGTCTGTGACCCCAGGATGATTAAAAATCAGTGACTTTGATTTTCCTCAACCTAATTAAGGATCTTTTATCTTTTTTTTTTTTTTTTGAGACAGAGTCTCACTCTGTTGCCTGGGCTAGAGTGCCATGGCATCAGCCTAGCCACAGCAACTCAAACTCCTGGGCTCAAGCAATCCTTCTGCCTCAACCTCCCGAGTGGCTGAGACTACAGGCATGCGCCACCATGCCAGGCTAATTTTTTCTATATATTTTTAGTTGGCCAATTAATTTCTTTCTATTTTTAGTAGAGATGGGTCTTGCCTCTGCTCAGGCTGGTCTCAAACTCCTGACCTTGAGCGATCCTCCAGCCTCAGCTTCCCAGAGTGCTAGGATTACAGGCGTGAGCCACCGTGCCCGGCCCGGAATCTTTTGTCTTAAAATTGTTTTTTAAAAATATTCTAATTTGTCTTTAACCTAGACATTTGTTTAGTTACTACTAGTTGGCCCGTTAAGCCTCTGTCCTAGGTGGGTGAGGTGGCTCACACCTGTAATCCTAGCACTTTGCGAGGCCAAGGCGGGAGGATTGCTTGAGGTATGGAGACCAGCCTGAGCAAGAGCAAGATCCCTGTTCTCTAAAAAAAAGAAAGAAAGAAAGAAAGAAAGAAAGAAAGAAAGAAAGAAAGAAGAAAGAAATTAGCTGGACAACTAAAAATACATAGAGAAAAAAATTAGCCGAGCATGGTGGCATGTGCCTGTAGTCCCAGCTACTCGGGAGGCTGAGGCAGGAGGATTGCTTGAGCCCAGGAATTTGAGGTTGCTGTGAGTTAGGCTGATGCCATGGCACTCTAGCCCGGGCAACAACAGAGTGAGACTCTGCCTCGGAAAAAAAAAATGCCTCTGTCCTTCATCCTTCCTATATTTATGATTATTTGGCAACTCCATACTTAACCCCATATAAGCAATCCTGAACTTAATTGTAATAATGTGATATCATCAAGCAGAGTTGAAAATCCACATTTCTAAGATGATCTCTCATGTTTTAAGTCAAGTTTTTGGTTTGGAATGCTCAATTAAAAAATCCAGTTCAATACACATTTATTTAGTGAACACTTTCTATATGTGGGACATCACACTTCATTCGGAGGGAGAGAGGAAGAGAACAGGACATATAGATGAACTAGACCCAGTTCTCACTTTCATGAGATGAGCCATTTTGGAAAATGCATGCAGTGCTTTGTGAATTCAGAGAGGAGGGATTATTCCCTGTTGGAGAATGCAGAGAAACAGTCCAGAAGACACTGACAATGCTGTAGACTTGTTTACCCTCCATTTTCACATCTTTAAAATAAGATGCTGGGCCTAGAAGCTGAGACTTGAACAGAAAAAAATTAAAAATAAGCATAAGAGAGAAATTAGCCTTTGTCATAGAATGCCATAGAAAGAGAGTGGAAGCAACTAGTACAAGAAAAGCTGTGCAAGAAAATAAAGCAGTAAAGGAGATATAACATGATTAATTGAATAAACATAAGAAAATTTGAAAGCTGATAGTAATTAATAGAGCATATTATCATCATTTCCATCATATTATTATTTTTAAAATCTGGCTTTTTAACCCAAGGCAATATGCATATTTTCCTAAAATTTAAGAAATAAAACAAGTGTTTTGCTAGAAATATGTACAGACTGTAAGGCTTTTTCTAAAATGTAGATTGAGGGGTGTGTGTATATACACTTTTCTTCTTACTAAATCATGTAACCAAGCATCTACTACTGATATGAGTCATACCCCAAATTTGTGGAGTGCTTCTAGATCAATGCTTACAAAACAGTTTTACATTCATTATAAATCCTGCACAGTGCAATAATATGGCTATTAATTTTCTTACTCTATATTCTTAGGATGAACCAGCACCTGCCAAATTTTTGAGACAGCTCACGGCTTAGAGGAAGGCTCATCTAAATAAAGGCCAGCTAAAGTGACATTGCAGGGATTTAATCCTTCTCTGGCTGCCCGTGTGACCAGAAGGCTGATTTGCAAGTTTCTTCTTTCCTGGGGTCCAGATTATTAGGTCTCCAGGGCTCTGCAGCTTGACAGCAGGAGAAGCAAAAAAATGAAGATCAGAGAAAAGCACCAGAATCAGGGACTTGGGGGCCTCCCAGGGGATTTTACACGCCGGAGTGCAAGATTCCCTGGCCATCAAGCGAAATAGCAACCTGGAGCCTTTCTCCTGGGGCACGGCCGCCTACCACAGAGCATCCGGCTGCACGTCGTCGGGCCAGAAGGTTCCTGGAATCCCATCAAGGAAGTGGCTATGGTAACTGCATGTGTGCCGCATTGTACAGTTCGAGCTGCAAATTCGACGTGAGGGAAGGTGGGAGATGTCTCGGGTGAGGCGAGCGGCTTTCGGCTGGGCTGGGCCGCCCCGGCCGCCGCGCGCCTCTCGCTGAAGCCCCGGAGGCGGCTGCTCAGGAGCGTCTGCCCGGCCGCGCGGCTCTCGCGGACTCTGCGCGCTGGCCGTCCCCGGCTCGCACCCCCCACCCACCCGGCCTCCCGCGCCCCTCGGCAACCTGCCCTCGGCCTGCGCCTCTCGGCTGAGACGGAGATGTGAGCCTGCGGGGGACGATGACTGCCGTGTGCGCGAATGGAGGCGGCCTGGTGAACCCCCACTACGCCAGGTGGGATCGGCGCGACAGCGACAGCGTAGAAAGTGGCTGTCAGACGGAGTGCAGCAAGGAGGGTGAGGAGGGACAGCCTCAGCAGCTGACACCCTTTGAGAAGCTGACCCAGGACATGTCCCAAGATGAGAAGGTAGTGAGGGAGATCACATTGGGGAAACGGATAGGCTTCTACCGAATTCGAGGGGAAATCGGGAGCGGAAACTTTTCCCAAGTCAAGCTCGGAATTCACTCCCTAACCAAAGGTAGGATCTGACTTCCCAGGGGCCATCCCCTGTGGAATTGGAACCTAGTGGGGGGCGGGCTTAGGGGGCCAGGGCCAGGGAAGCAAGTAAAGTGACCTCAGCTGAGCCCCTGCTAGCCTGAGCCCTGTGCCAGCTGCCTTCCAGTCATCTCAGTTAATTTTCACAGTCACGGTGTGAGATCAGTCTTTTCATTTCCGTTTTGCAGATAGGGAAACTGAGATCCAAAGAAGTTAAATGTGGCGTCAGCAATTCAGTCTTAGATGTTTTTTACTCCAAAACCATTCCCATAGTACCATGCATATAAACCCACTCAAACATGAGGGGACTCTGCCTTCTCCAGTGAAGCCTTCCAGAAGCAAAGTGGAGTGTGGCTTGGTTCCAAGGCAACTCATATCCCAAGCCCATACTTACAGCCTCTATTATATATTTGTATGTCAGTAACAATGGCACAGAGTGGCACAGGAGACTTCCCGAGGCCTACTGTCTCTGGATAGCAGGGTCCGGTTTCCCCTTCTAACTAGAGGCTGCTACTTCTGTAATATTTGGAGGAAAGGGATTTGATCTCAGGACCTTTCCTGAGTCAGTCTGCCTGTCCTTGTTGTCACTGTTGTGTGGCTCCTCACTCCTCACTTGATTGGCTGCTGGGATTCCGAATGGGCAGTGCCCACCACTCTGGCCTCAGGGAGGAACTGTGTGGAGAGCCCAGTACCTCCTTCCTGCTCCAAACCCATTGTGGGCACTTCCCCAAGGTACCTCTAACTTAGCTGAAGCCTGGAGATTATCATAAGGGAGTTACAGGACAGAAAAAGAACACTTGCAACTCAGCATAATTTACTGAGTTTCTAAAGCCCACAGGCTATATCCTTTCCCAAGAATCCCTTACTGACATTTTCTCTCTTTGGACCTAGCCTGCCACCGTATATCCAAAGTCTCTCTTTTATTATATTAGAGTTGTCTTTTGTTTTCTTCTCCAACCCCCAATCTCATGCCCCTCCAATCCCTGTGCCCCTCCCATTCACATGCACACAACACACACCACCCCCACCCTGCTCTGCCCCACATATACACTCCCAAGTCACCAGAGTTCTAAGTCCCTTTCCAGCTTGCTCTGAAGCCTGAGTGTCTGAGTTCATGCCTTGACATCTTGGCTATTCTACTTACTTATCTGGGCAAATTAAAGTACTTCTCTGAGCATCAGATTCTTCTTTTATAAAACGCAGCCAATAACAGTGCTTACATCATAAGGGATAATGCACAGGTGCTCAATAAATGTTTATTGATATTATTTTGCAGAGTTGCTTTAGCCTTGTCTTGCCTTTGTATAACCAAAGATAAATTAGATTATCTTTATCAACAAAAGTTCCCATCCACCCCATACACAAATCGAGATCAATTCAGCTGCCTTTTCCTATTGCCATGGTTTTGAATTCTGACTGCACATTAAAATTACTTGGGAAGGTTTAGAAAAAAATCAGTGCCCGGAATCCACCCCTAGAGCTTTTGATACACTTGGTCTGGAGTGGGACCAGGTGTGAGTGTTATTTAAAAACTCTCCCGGATCATTCTAATGGACATGCAGATCCAAGAAACACTTGCCTACAGCAGTTTGCGTATACTACAGGCAGCTTTTAAAATAGTAAATTTTTGATATTTGCCACAAATTGATAATCCAGGCATCATTAGTATTTTAAAATCAATTATGAGATATTGTGTCAGGTTTGCATGGTACATTTAACTTTCAAATTTCATTTCACTTGGTATAATATTCATTTATTATTCATTTAGACCAATAATAGAAGTACTAAATTAGGCCTTGGGGGATATAAGATGAAATAGATACAACCTCCACCCTCAAGAAAGATAAGTGAGAAGACATATACAAATGAGTGCAGTACAAGCAAGAATTTGAAAAACATAGAGGAAACAAGCTGTGGATTTAAAGGAAGGAGACTCTTCCACTTTAGGAATATTGTAGAAGGCTTTAGGTGGGGATAGAATTTGAGCTACACCTCAAGCAGGGATAGGATTTGGGATAGGCAATGATTTATAGGACAGAGAAGGGTTAGAGGGTTAGTTAGAAGAAGAAAGTGAGCAAAAGCATAAATGTGGGAAAATGATATGTAGTACAGTTTTCCTAAAAGCCAGGAGAGTTGGGAAAAAGAACTGGAAA